ATCACTTTAGCATTTATGAGGCAAGGAAAGGCCATAGGTTTATTGCTTGTGATGGGTATAAGGTTGTTGTACGTAAGAGAAGAGAATTTTTCATGATTTTAAAGTGCAAGATAAAACTATTGGGACTGTATTTCGCTATGGAAACTCGCGTGTTTAATGCGCTCTGCTCTCAAGGAAAACAAGAAAACAAATCAAAGAATGACCGTTAAATATCCACCACCAGCCGTCGAGCGATGTTGATTTGATCGATGCACCTCTGACTTCTAACCAAGAACGATCGTTACTGGGTTCACCCCTCTTCAAAAAATGTTAGAACGAGGGTGTTTGACGAATAACGAGGAACCGAAGAGGGAGGATTTCTAAGTTATGTTACCTCTATTCCAATGAAGGTTCCTCTGGAGAGCTCCATGACTAGGTCTATGTTAGAAACTTTGTTTCTAACAAGTTCTGAATTGGGGGTTTTAGCGAGATCAATGGGTTATTGACCTAGCTAGGGATTGGGAATTGAGAATGTAGAGATTAGGGAGGGAAGAGAGAGCTACTGCCGTAGCTTTTGGAAGGGAATAGAGGGAGAGAGAGCCGAAGGAAGAGAAGGGAAGAGTGAGATTAGGTTTAGGTTATTTGTTTTGTAATTGCTTAATTCCCTTAATCCCACAATTACAAATATATATAGTCCGCATAATATCTATCTTCTACCCGAATAATAAAACATATCAATCAACTCCCCGTTTATTCCCCGAATATCCCAAATAATCACCCAATTAACCAAAATCGACAATAATACGAAAATACCAAAAAACTGCAAATAGTTTGTTTCTAACATACCCGCCTCCTTGGGAAGCAACCTTGTCCTCAAGGTTGATGCTTCTCTTGCCCCGCTCCTGCGTCCTCTGCGGCTTCATCCTCTGCCTCATCTTCCCAGCGCCCAACCAAGAACATTAAATCAGGCTTTCCGCATTTGTGACCAAAGGTGAACCTCTCGTCGCAGTTAAAACATTTTCCTTCTCGTCTCTTCTGCTCGATCTCTGCAGGAGATAGCCTAGTAAACCCTTTGGGCCGTGCCTTCGGTCCTGCTCGGATGGCCGCGGCGGGTGGACCAGTCGTCGCACCCCCTCCCATGCTCGGACCCGGCGCCGGGATTCCTGACCCGCTACTCGGCCCGCTACCTCTACCTCCTCCGCTCGGCTTCTAATAACGGCCTATCACTCCCCGCCAGCTAGCCAGTTCGTCCTCCTTATTACCTGCAAGACGGAAAACAGTTTGTAGTGAATCCGGCTCAAATACCCGAACAACAGCTGCAATCTCCGGACGGAGTCCCGCCATGCACAGTCCCACCAATGTCTCTTCTGGAACGCCCTTGCATTGGTTACCCAGCTTGAAGAACTCAGCCCTATACTCCGCCACCGTCCCTGTCTGACGCAGCTTGGCCAGCTGCTCCGGAGCCCATCCTTCTGATTTCCCGAATTGATATCGCAGCTCCTCCTTAAACATAGGCCAAGTGATTAGCGTATGACCTTTCGCATATGTCCTCTCCATCCACTCCCACCATTGCAGCGCATCTCCTTCCAAGTAAAAGGAGGCTAGCTGAGCCTTTCGTTCCTCCCGAGTGGGGTGATTCTTGAACCACCGTTCAGCTGAGTATATCCACAGACCTGCGTCCTCACGACCATTGAATTTTGGAAACTCAATGGTGGGAGGTTTAGCTCTAAACACCATGTCATCCTCAGCATCAAACCCATGGGAATAACCGGCATACCTTCCATAACCTGCAGGTCCATAGGAATAATCCTCCGAGAATCGCGGGTCTCCTTCACGTCCCCAGTTGTCCTCCCTTTCGTTCGGATACCCCGATCGCCGGTCCAGCTCATTCCTCTGCCTCCATCCGCCATCCCCGGGTCCCCTCGGTGTCCTCCCCGTGCCTCGTTGGTTCGCAAAAGGGGGATAAGGGCCGCTGAACTCGTCAAACTGCCCTGGAAAGCCTGGAGCGACCCTGCTGCCCGCCTGGTTCGGGTACCCGGTCGGTTGGACCGGTTCGATCACGGTTTGACCGTGTCCGGCTCGAACGGATTCGGCCCGACTCGATTCGGCCCGACCGCTAGGGGTCCGACCCAAGCCGCCTCGTCCCGCATCGACCCGCCCGGGTTGGGTTTGGGTCATGGTACCCGACCTCCCAGCCTCTCATCCTCGGCCCAACCATCTTCGACTGCCGCCGGGCCCGCCTTCAGTCCTGGGCCGGCCCACCAAGCTGAGTTCAGCTTCTCTGGGCACCGCCCCTATCCAGTTCGGCCTATTGGCCCACGGCCCATGTCCACCTTCCTGCTCCAGGTCCTCAAACTCCTCCCAGTTCAAGCCCGCATGCAGATCCAGGTCCTCGTACTCGGGCAGCTTAGCCTTGCCCCCGCAAAGCCACCAGTTCCTGGGCCGTCGGGGTGGGTAGCAGACCGCCCTTGTCAGAGGGCCTGCTAGGGTTGGCCGCCTCCCCCCCCCCCCCCCCCCGTCTTCTCCATCGGATCTCCAGCCGAGATCGCCTCTCCACTGAGGCGGAGCCCTCCCCCGGCGCCACGTCTTCCTATTCCGGCTTCCTGCCCTCGCCAGATGCCGCCCCGCCTTTCAAAGCCTCCGGCGCCGCCCGAGTTGCTTCCCACGTAGCCGTCAGGCTGGTCATTTGACCTTGCAGCGCCTCAACCGCTGCCAGCAACGCGTCAAGGGTGCGGCCGTGATCTTTCGATTTTGCCTGCAGCCCCTTCAGACTCTCCTCGACAAATCCTTCTGCAGCCGTCCCGGTGGCCTTGGCTTGAGCCGCCTTGTCCTGCGCCACCTTCTCTGCCGCTGTCATCGATTTCGTGTTCACCATCACTGTCTCTTGGTTGGTCCTTGTTCAAGAGTTCGAAGAACTGGTTCTCGAACCGGGCTCTGATACCAGATGTTAGAAGCAAAGTTTCTAACAAGTTCTTAATTGGGGGTTTTAGCGAGATCAATGGGTTATTGACCTAGCTAGGGATAGTGAATTGAGAATGTAGAGATTATGGAGGGAAGAGAGAGCTGCTGCCGCAGCTTTTGGAAGGGAATAGAGGGAGAGAGAGCCGAAGGAAGAGAAGGGAAGAGTGAGATTAGGTTTAGGTTATTTGTTCTGTAATTGCTTAATTCCCCTAATCCCACAATTACAAATATATATAGTCCGCATAATATCTATCTTCTACCCGAATAATAAAACATATCAATCAACTCCCCGTTTCTTCCCCGAATATCCCAAATAATCACCCAATCAACCAAAACCGACAATAATACGAAAATACCGAAAAACTGCAAATAGTTTGTTTCTAACATTCTACGTCTACGATCTACGATCCTGCAAAGGAGATCTTTGACAGAGCGATTCTAAGAACTAGAGAGAAAAAAGGTAAGTCTGCGACGATGCAGTTTGTGATTTGATTTTGTCCTCCCGAGCTTCTCTCTCCTTATGTTCGTACCCCTTCTTCTTTCTGTACATAGTCGCAGTAACCGCTTCACTCTGTCTTTGTCTCCCACGTTCTTCATTCCCCTCAACTGTGTTGTAACTTCCCCTTTGTTGCGTAACTCCCACGAGTGTGAAACCACTTGGTCACGCGGGAACTCGGCCAAAACGACACTGAACCAAAATCCACAATTCTCAACCGTCTTTGGATCCTCCAAACAACCTTGTCCACTGAACAACAACGATGAGTTCGCGACATCGCCAAACACACGCCATTGCTGAACTCTTGCCACCACGTCGTTGTTTTTACCTAAACAACATCACTTCCACAGTTCCGCAAGGTCGTTGATTAAGAAAACAACACTGCTTACATTGGTTTTAAAACCAAAACACAGCCGTTTGGACAAAGTCGGCATGCACGTACTAAGTCACGTAGATTCTTCCTCCCACGACATCTTTTTATATTAAACAAACTCGCTTTGGTGTGTTTACGATGTTAAGCTTCGTGACGCTGTTAAATCTTTCCGCTACATTGCTTTTCACTAATCAATGTCGTTTCAGGTACCACGGCGCTGTACTCCGTGAAACGACACCGTTTACTACTACCCCGAAGACGTTTATGTGAAATTTCTCGCGATATTGTTTTATATTGAACAGTGTCGTTTTTTAATTCGCGGTGTTGTTGATACCTCTCGCGGCGTCGTTTTCAACTAAACAACATCGTCCAAAAAAATAATTATTAAAATCTATAATTAATTGAGTTGGCCTTTCTCGAGAACTCGGCCAACACAAAGTCATTTTTGAATTACCCTAATGCTCCTAGTTCCGAAACCCAGACTCACCCACTTGGCCTATCTAAACGACTTTGTTTGCCAATATCGCAGTATTGTTGGGATTTTGACGATGTCGATGACCTCCGCGACATCGTCAAATCCTTCCGCGGCATTGTTTATCCCTGAACGGTGTCGTTTCTCTCCTCTTCCGACAAGAAATAAAAAAGCACTCATTTTCCAACCCCAACACCAACATCGCGAAAACTGAATAAATTCGTAGCCCAACTCGCGACATTGCTTTTTTACCAAACAACATCTTTCTAGTACCGCGGTGCTTTCGAGCTTTCTTGCGGTGTTGTTTAAACTCTCCGCGACGTTGCTCGACTCCAAACGACAACGTTTTTTGTCATGCGGTATCGAATTTAATTTCAAAACTAATTATTGCGACATTGAATTTAGGCCAAATTAATTTTAGGTGTCAACAGACTGAGCCTGTTTGTGGATACTAATGAACTTGGAATTGGGAAATGATGGATGGTTGTTTTTTATCGTGCATATTGCTGAATTGTACTGACTTCAACTTCCTTATGATTGTAGTAGAATTTGCACTGTGCACCTCCAAGTTTCCGAAGGGTCCATTACAATTGACCACATCTTACTTCAGAGTACGTAGCACTAGCATCTTGCAACACTGACAACTCATATTTTACCCCCTCCCCCTCTATTACGGGATTGGAATCACTTCTTTTGCAGGTAGTAATTTCATTGGGAACTAGTCTCGGAGAAGCCGCGCTTCGCTGCGGCCTAAGTGCTGTGCTGGCAAATTGATCTGGAAGCCCGTACCTTGAAGTGATGTTTGTTACTCTTTCAACTCGCACTAATAGCGGCACTGAACGGCCGGAGATTGATTGAAAAGGCTTTAAGCCCACCGTGATTGTGATCAAGAGCACACACTGCACCTGACCCAGTCTCATAGAATCCTTGAAAAGTATGTGGTTCAAGTTGAAGATGCTAAAATTATGTTATTTGGTTTTGGCTTCTTATTGTTATCTAGATTTTGTATTGAAGTCCTGTATCTGATAGCCTTATTCAAGAAATAGCCCAATATAGAGTCTGTGTGTTGCATATGTGATCAGATATATACTTATCTGCCACCCAGTTTACACAAAGTGCTAGACCATATTCTTCTGAACTAATTGAATAACCATTACAAATATCACACTATCATGATTGATAAGATAGGAAAAAATGGTAACAACAAATAAAACCTAAATCATTAAACCTGCAATTGATAATGTGAAGAAGGAACAAAAGCTTCACATCAGTATCCAACATTGGCAAACACAAAATCCATGCTTGTTGGGAACATCTACCTAATACTTATAAGCCAAATTATGTGAAATCCTTTGTGCAGGAATCGCATAGCTGTGAAATAGCTAGTTCACAATTCTTGTTGAAATGGAAGATTAGATTGATCGCTATATCCTATCATTACTTGTAATAATAATAATAATCACTAATCAAATCCATGTAACATGGCTGCTCTGATTCGCTTCCCCACTCCCCTGTTTCCATCTCTTCATCAATGTTTCAACCTATCATCAACATCAATAGAAAATATCAATCTTTTTAACTGTACAGAACAATTCAGTTCCTCCATTTTTCAGGCAGAGCTAAAAAGGTTTTCAGTGAGTAGAGAACTATTGAACCAATTTCCAGCAGAAAGAGGACAGATAGATATCCAAAACACGCCACACTCTAGGTTTTGGATTAGAATACTTTGAGAATAAATATAGTACCCTCTTTGATAGGGTAATACCACAAAGGCTGTCAAGCTGCCCTTATCCTGATTGAATTGAACCTCACAGTTGAGCCATTCAGGGTCAAGCACAATTGCATAGACAAAACTGAGGGAGGACTAAAGTCAATGAAAGCAAAGGAACTTACTGGAGTAGCAATCGATCAGCATGCAAAGCCGTCTCTCAGAGTCAGAGCTGGTACCGTCGTTCGATCCCTGATTGAATTGAACCTCTCAGGTCAGTCATTCAGGGTACGCACAATAGCATACTTGCAAGTGCAACGTTCCTTGTGGAAAATTAAGGAAGCTAAAACGCCCGCCAATCGCCTCCTCGGACATCGAAAGAAGACGGACGAAGAGAAAAAGCAAGCAAGAAGGAAATTCCAGAATTTAGGGATTCGAACATTGTCCTCATCAATTTTGTCTTTGTTTCTCGCCAAAGCATCCCCAATCACATCTTCGGAGCCAGCCCCTCCTTCCGTCGACGCTGAAATCTGTTTCCGTCAATACATTATTCGTTTTGCATTACCGCCGCTCCGATTTCGCTCCAGATAACTAATTTGATCTCTTTGTGTTTGAGATTGGGGATAAATAGTTGGGGTTGGGGGTCTCAACCGAGGAAGAAAAGCAACAAAGGATGAAGTCTAGATTTTTATTGGTGAATCGCTAGAGCTCGACGGAGAAGCAAGTAAAGCAATCAGATGAGAGAAATAGCAAGAAGAAAGAATCGACGATGGGACGGGAGGGAAGCTAGAGGGCTCGACGGAAATCGTGAGATAGGTTGGAGACTGGCCAGAGATAGCTTGCTCAGAGGGTGAAAACGAAGCCCAATCGTCAAAGCCAGTCTAGTCTACAAAGCATAAAGCCCATGTTGAAGCACGCAGATAAATGACTGTGACCAAGCCAAAATAACCTACAACACAAATTAGCAAAGCTCTTGTGCAACAGTAACCAACTTATAACTTTAATTATATATATTTAGAATGATTTCTTGACAAGCATGGTATGCTGGTGTTCTTGTTGATTGCTTATGGTACTCTACCTGGCAATTTGCTGCTCGAGGATGGACACATTTCATCAGCTTTCTATCATTTGAGTAGTAACCTTCCATCAAGCTTTAGTTGGAGAAATTGTCGGCGTGCACGTCTATTACAACTTGAGTTCATTTCCTTTTGTTCGAGTCATTTCACTGTTGATTTGTATGTTGGTACTCATTGGTTTTTAGACATAGGACAAATTTATGTAAAATGGTTCGAGATTATAACAATTGGGACTTCATTGTCATAAAGGTTTCAAATGGATAATTTTTTGTAATTGATCAGGCCCTATAGAGGGACATGTACTTAATAGAAAATAAAAACAATAAAATACATAATCAATTGTTTCTTTCTGTTCCTCCCTTCCCTTCCCTCCCACCTCTATTCTCCTTCTTCTTCTTCTCATCCTCTTTCTTCTATTCTTCTTTCTCGATCCTCTTAGTACTTCTATCAATTCCCTATTGTTATACTTCACTCTCGAAGAAGATCAAGAACGTCACAAATTTACTTTGACTAGTCAATAGTCTCATATATCTCATAAGAATTTTGTGTTAGTTAAAGTAAAACAGGAAAAAAGACAAAGGGGGTGAAATTATCTATCTGTCTCTATTTGTTCCTATTAGAATTGATAGTCATTCATATAAAAAACTAATGGTCGACTCGATATATGAATTTGTTGAATTTTGAAAAAAAAAAAAATTGATCACTATCAGCTCCCATTCAAAAATTAAATTACATGTACTTTTTTCGTCATCTTAAACTCGAATAAAAAACCGAACACACTTCATGTTAGAATAAAATATAGACTAGCGTGGGCCCCGGTCAGTTGGCCGGAGGAATGTGATATATGAAATTTGAGAATGTAATGGGGTTTATAGCTTATTGTTGTGTAGTTTTTTTTTTGGGAAACACATGATAAAGATAGTGAATTTTAGCAGGAAAGAGAAATGGATGATGCAACGAATAAAAAATCAGCCTTATGAACCAAGTTCGAGTACCTGTTGCCTTGTGAAACAGTATTATTTCTGGTAATATGATGATGTGGAGTAAATTTTATAGAAATCGAATTCCAGAAAACCGAATAAAAAATCCCCTATAAAATACACTATAATTTAATCATTAGGATATAAAATAATTACATAATATATATTTGAAATTATAAAAATTGGACTAATCAGGTTGGTCGAGGTCGAACCATTTAATAAATTTAAAATACATTATATTTTAGCCACTAATATATAAAATAATAGAATAATATATGTTATGCTAGAGAAAATAGCATGTTTTAGGATGGCAAACCCATGATGTTCATTTGTTTTACTTGAAACTTGATGGTCAAATCCCGTATGAGTCAGGCCCATTCAACTCTTTTATTCTATGGTTAGCGGTTAGCCCATTAGAATCCATGCATTAGTTTATTGTTAAATTTTTGCTTTTTAGCAATAAAAAATGAGTATTGTTTTGCCCTTTCATATATATCTTACCAACACTGAGAAATCAAAAGGGCTTAAAAAAAAACCCTATATCCCCTAGAAAAAGCTGCTCAGTGCTCACCGGCTCATGGTTCACTTCTCTCTCTCGATCTCAATTATATAGCCGCCGGTAGTCACTTCTCCCCATCCCTGTTTTCTTGTCCTTAATTTTAGCTTTGCAAACCTCTTTCCTGCATGTCATCCTCCCCCTGAATGTCAATTTCCATCCCCTCTCGGTCTCTGTTTTTCATTTCTTAATCTTCCGTTCTCTTATCAATTGTGTAAACCCCCCTCTTTGTATATCTTCGACGCTAGTTTAACGAAAAAGAAGAGAAAGCCACCAATCTTCAATAATACTGTATTGTTACACTGAAGCGATATTGTGTATTTCTTTGTCACTTATCTGTTAGAGCTTACAAATGATGGAAAAAGGGGTGGTTGATTATGATTTGATTAAATGACTCAATCTTCAAATTTTACTTGCATGCAATTTATCACCCTTCTTCATGAGCATGGTTGGATCTTTTTAGTATGCTTGGATTTCTTTTCATAGGGAAGGGATTAGGCGATTAGCACACCGAAGAAGGATTGGGGAAATTATTTTGTAAACAATTATGAAGCTCTCTTTCTCTAATTATCTCATTTATTCTCGGCGTTGGTGGAGTCCAGATCTAGCATCGGAACAATCCAAGACTCGGTTACGGTGATCGCTATGGAGGCATGAAACAGATGCGGCCGTGGCTGGAACCTGATATGTTTTTGTGGGCCGCAACAATCTCTGTGCCCATTCAAGTCCGCACTTATACGGTAAGTTGGCTCGTTCCACAGAGGAAAGAGAAAAAAATTGACACTCCCTATCATACTCTTCCTACAAACGCTCATGGAGCAGGAATTTGAAATGGGGGAAGAATTTTTTCCTTCATGCTATTATATTATGTGTAGATTGTAGTAATTAGAACCCCACTTTTAAATCTGGAAGCAAGTAAACACTATCACAAAACATCATATTGTAAAACCTTATCTGCAATCATGAGGTTGTTTCACTCCAAATAAACTATGTTTTATATGTTGAAGATCAGCATTATAGCTTGAATAGTTCAATTCGGCAATTATCTCAGCTCTTACATATAAATTTTGTGTAAAAGTGGTATGATTGAAGCTATTCCCTATGTTAACACTAATCAGAATAGTCTTTGTTTACTGGAAACTAACTACCAAAACATTTCAAATCAGAAAAATGATGATACTGAAAAGGAGTATCATAACAAAAGCAACAAAAAGTATAGTTATTTTTCTTTAATCAACTAAAAAGTCAACCTAGAAGATCAAACAAATGAACAGTTTTTAAGAGATCATACATTACTATCAAAGAAACTAAATAACCCATCAGTCACTAAACCTCTCCAAGCAAGAACACTCAACCTTTACATATATAGCCCTCCGAAAATTGCTTTGTGTAACAATATAGGTGGAGGAGGATAGGAGGTTGTCAAGTCCGATGGGAAGGTTTGGAGAGACGGTGATGGTTGAGCCTTTAGTAGGACGGGAGCCCGGGACACTGTTTATCTTTAATAAACTCAAAAGTCAACCTAGAAGATCAACCAAATGAACTGATGTTAAGAGATCACACATTACTGTCAAAGAAACTAAATAACCCACCAGTTAGCTCTCCAAGCAAGAACACTCAATATGTCCATATATACCCCTCTGAAAATTCATTTGCTTAACAATATAGGTGGAGGAGGTTAGGCAGTTGTCGAATCCAATGGAAAGGTTTGGAGAGACGACGATTGT